AATTTGGATAACTCAAATGTCTCTGTGATGGTTCATCGTCATCCATCATTCCAGCGGTATCAAAGTAATTTTCATCAGTAAAAGAAGAGGTCGAAACAGTCTGATACGAGTTGTGCCGAGAGGGCTGCTCCTGTTCGTCACTATTTGGGTCTACAAAGTATTGATTCCGCAGTTGATTAATTTGATTTTGATTCTCCTGTATTTCTTTTCGCATCTGATCTTCTCGTGCCTGATATAGCTTGATTTTTTTTTGCCAGTCAAGTCGCTCGAGTTCAAACAGTGCTAATTGTTGTCTCATAAAGTTCATCTCTTTGGCTTCATCGGATGAATTAAATTTAGCTTGTGCCCCTTCTTATGATTTGAAAAATGAGTGAGTTATATATATTATTATTATTCTTTTCCCGTCATACCTGCTTGGTTTTCTTGAACCAGAGTTTTATCCTCACGACTCGTTCCTTGAACAAAGCTAGCCTCCTGTCTGGTAAAACGTGGTCGCTCTAGTACCGATGATGTTTTTTTAGGAGGATCTGTTGTTGGTAAAACATCATTTGAATAACCAAGATATTGAATAGGAACTGGGCTAGTATAAGGTGTATTAGATTCCTGTATTAGGGACATATGATCCATTTGATCAATTAAATCTGGAGGTGATAACTCTTTTGATGCATTGGAGAAGTTTTTAGATGCAATGACTTCCGATATTTGCTCTTCCGTCAATTGTCCTGGATAGAACAATTGTGATCTTCTTCTGGGATGAAGGATCTTTTGTAGTATAGGCATGTTTTTAATTAATTAAAGAAAAAGAAAGAAATAACAAGGAAAAACGTTAATAACAATTATAAATATCAAGAAACATGACGTCTCCATTTTTTTTTCTCATCTTTATCATGTGATAGACAACATTAATGTGATCTAGTTGCCACGGAACGCGTTCACTGGATCTCCGTGAATGTGATCACAAGCTACTCAAGAAAACAAGCCTCTTTTTAATTTATATATTATTTTGATATTTAATGTATAGTGCCACTATTTGTTTACTGCTAAAGCATGGCCTTTGTACGACTGAGACTTTTAAAGACAAATAAAGGTAAAGCTGAGTGGTTTTTAAAACTTAAAAAGGATGCTAAAAAGATCAAGTTAATATAGTATTGAAATGTGATAATATCATGATATTCTGACGTTTTAAGTGTAAGAGAGAAAGAGAAAGACAGGAGCGTAGACTATGTTTTACATAAACATTACTTTGGTCTATTCCCAGTAAACAAGATGGTCACAATGAGTAGCGTTGTTTCTTTATCGCGTTAACTTCAGAATGTAGTCTCGAAAAGTAAAGATTTAACATAAATAGCGAGAGAGAAAGAAAGAGATCACGACGTACGAAACTTATCGGTGACTCAACGCTTGGAAACAAAAGATCATCGTTGTTCATTCATTCGTTTATATAAGAACACTCTTTTCATTGTCATAACCAAATGAAAAATAACGTTCTATAACAGAACTTCAGAAAGAGTTCAGTAATAGTTTACTAAAGGGATTTCATTGTCGTATAAGAGGAAACAGGTCTTTTAGTTCTCCGTATAATTATATTACCTATTATTGGTTGGTTAGACTTTTCTTCCCTTTCTTTTTCTGAGCAAAAAAAGACAATTTTCTTAGTTTTACGCGAGAAACTTTAACTGAAATTCTTTTCTGATAAACCGAGAATAGAAGTTCCACATGTTGTTTCTTTTAGGTGCGGAAGATTACCCCGACTGATATTAAAATGAACGAGCTTCCATTCTAAGTTCACGTTAAGGTGGAACAACATATAGACTTGCCAAGTGAGTTGGTTTCATGCGAACTAAGATATATCGAGAGTTATCAGAGTATATTTACGAACGATGTTAGAACGATAATTAATAAAACCTTATATCTATGAGACGTTAAGATTCTATATATAATATATATAAGATATAAGTTCGTATCGTTGTTATCTATGAGAAGTGGATTTTAATTGCTGACAAGATAGACCGTATATTTTTCCTATTACTTATTTGAGTATAAGAGAAATAGAGAGGAAAGGGTGACATATAGATGGTATAGTACTCGAATTTTTTTCCAACTACTGAAAGTTAGAATACTTATATTTTTAGTGAAAAACACATAAAGTAACAAGATTATTTTATACGTACTTTAGCACCATTTTTACTAAGTTAAAGTGGAATTAAATCAAAACATAAAGAAATGTGTATTAATCAGTTTTAGTTTATTTGACT